TGTAACTGGTTGGTCAGAGTTAATGATTTCAACCCAATTTGGTCTGAAAGAACGGACATAGTGCTGATTTTTCATCTAATGACCTCAATTCTGGGTTTTTAATATTTCTGAAAGAAGTAGTTGTACATATGGATAGAACAAACGCGCCGATCTTCGTTGAAGATTGCTTGACGTCCTAAGCAGTGCTTGTTTAGTGAGATACACTCACATAAACACATGACTTTATAGGAGCACTGATAAGTTTTGAAAGTCTTTAAACTCTTATATAGTATAGAAGCTTGCTGCTCTCTAACGGTGACTGAACATTTGCATAATATATAGCAGAAAACCAAGATCGTTCTTCAAAGGGACATAGTTTGAGTTACCGAACTTGATAAAAGAAGTAATTTTATGCAAATTTCAAAAAAAAAAAAAAAAATACAACCAATGACAATCAAAAACTGTATAAATGAGATGTTTTGGAGTGTGAAAGATGCGAATTTCTTTTATAAATGATACTGCGGGGAGATGCTAAATACTGCCCAAGAATGCACATTTTGCTGAGTGAATTAATTCGTTTAACACAATTTTAATTTAAAATATCGTTGAAAATGCAGTTCTTTTTTCCAAATTCAGTATTATTCAGAAAGTTTTTAAAAAAACGGACTGGAAGGAACATTTTTGTCTATAATTTCTAAAAGGACTGAATGCGAATTTACAATCAATATAACAATGTCAGAGGACTTGACGATTTACATGTAGTTACATTGTGTTGATTTTTTTTTTCAGTTTGGGTATGCAAAACATAAAAAAGAAATGGATTCTTGTGTTTGACAAGTGAGTGAAAATTTTGTCACCATTCAATTTAGATTGCCGATTTTTCTTCATATGTCTATAATCCTGGGTTTGCAAAGGACACTTCGACAGAGTCGAATAACTGAAAAACTAGAGAGAAAAAAAAATCAAGGCTTTTTAAAGTGTAGATTTTTATACCCGCACTTTCTAAAGAAACTTCGGGTATATTGTTGTTATCCTGCTCTGGTTCCCAGAACTCCTCTTACATTTTACGCAGGAGCCAAATCATCTTTTGCAAGATTATAGGTGGTGTCCTGTAGATGTGCAATAAGGTTTCGGATTTTTTTTTCACCCTTGGGACAAAAAGGGGTAGAAAAACAACGTTTTTCATTTTACAAAAGTCTGGTTCCCAGAACTCCTCATACATTCCACACAATAGCATAGCCTCTCATCTTTTTTTCAAGATGATTTTGGGTCTCTGTAGATATGTGCATTGAGGTTTCGGAATTTTCATTTTTACTCTAGGGACCAAGTGGGGACGAAAAATAATGTTTTCAAGTTCCACATTGGGCCGATTTTCTTCTTATTTTTTCTTTACAGAAAAACATTTTTCTGAAACTCATTCTTTTCAAATCAGAATTTACTTCATTACAATCTTTAATTTCAAACCGGTAATGAATTTATTATTCGAAATACTAACATAGATGGTCCATGGTCATATGCTCACCTGTGCATTTTATGCTCAATTTGATAGATGTTTACATATTTTATGTATTATTGAAGATGCAAATTTGGGGATGGACGTAAATTATAGAATAACTTTTGTGGCAGGTACAGGAGAGCTAGAGCGGGTATAACTGTCTTATGACAGCTTCTAGTTAGCTCACCAGAGCTGAAAGCTCAAGTGAGCTTTTCTGATCACATTTTGTCTGGCGTCCGTCTGTCTGTCCGTCTGTAAACTTTTCGCATTTCGACTTCTTCTCAAGAACCACTGGGCCAATTTTGACCAAACTTGCCATAAAGCATTCTTGGGTGAAGGGGATTCAAGTTTGTTCAAATAAAGGGCCATGCCCCATTCCAAGGGGAGATACTAAGTAATTAAGAATTAGTGAAAATTTGGTGTCATCTTTCAAAAATCTTCTTCTCAAGAACCATTAAGCCAGAAAAGTTGAAACTTATGTGAAACCTTAATGACATAGTGTAGATTCAATTTTGTTCAAATCATGACCCCCGAGGGTAGGGTGGGGCCACAATAGGGGATCAAAATTTTACATAGGAATACATAGGATTTTTTTTTTTTTAAAAAAAAAATATTCTTCTCAAGAACAACAAAGCTGTGATCAGTCATATTGATATGGAAGCATCATCAGGTAGTGTAGATTCAAAATTGCTCAAATCATGACCCCTGAAGGTAGGGTGGGGCCACAATGGGGGATCAAAGTTTTATATAGGAATATATAGGAAAAACTTTAAAAATCTTCTTCTCAAGACCAGCAAAGCCATTATAAGTCATTTTGATATGGAAGCATACGCAGGTAGTGTAGATTTAAGTTTATTCACATCATGACCCCCGGGGGTAGGATGGGGCCACAATGGGGATTCAAAGTTTTACATAGGAGTGTATACATGTAGGAAAAAAATTTAAAAATATTATTCTCAGGAACAGCAAAGCCAAGTTTAGTCTAATTGATATGGTCGCATACTCAGATACGAGGGGTGATCAAAAAGTTCGCGAACTAATTCAATTACTTCTTTAAAAGAAATAAAATGAAGTTTCAGTGTTTATTATTTTTTAAAGTAGTCCTCTCCGATTTTAATGCACATCTGCCATTGTTCTGCCCATGCGTGAATCACGTGATCCAGGCAGTCACGTGACATGCTCCGAAGCAATCTGTTCAAAGAAGCTAAAAGATTTTTCATAGTCTTATATTTCTTACCATGCAAGTTATTTTTTTTTAACAAAAACAGTCCATCTGTCAGAAATGGCCAAATCTCGGCAATAGGATGGGTGGATAAGGATATCCCTTCCCACAATTAGTATGGTGACCCATCACAACCCGAGTCCTCTCTCTCGGGAGAGTCGTTTTTCCAATGTGGATAAAGTACATGTATGGGCGCCTTCTTTTTATCATATCTCATACGTTTAAAGTCTAAAGTAAACGATATCTTAGCGATTTAATAATTATATTATTGTTAAGATATACAACCATTTTTCTAATTGTTACTTGACGATGTTTCATAACAAATTGCTCAACTAAGGACACATCTTTTCCCCGGCTTGCTTTCGCTGGACAACAGAACAAACATCATTTTTAACCGTCTCCCTGTCTTTACTTAAACAATCAATCCAATTAATGATTGAACTTCTGGTAAGTCTTTTGTCTTCATAAACCTTGTACAAATTATCATATTCTACTGCAAAGGAATTTCCAAGATATATGTTAAACTTTACAGCCGTTCGTTGCTCGAGTACGACTGAGTCAACCATTTTTTGTCACAAGTGACCTACATATTGACGTCATTTTCACATTGTGACGTCACAAACACGGAGCAAAACATTATTTAACATATGTTATTAATTTTATAGACCATGTGTATGACTATAAGTGTGCCAAATTTCATTCTGATCTGAATTGTGGTTTTGTAAATATAGAGATAGTTCGCGAACTTTTTGATCACCCCTCGTAGTGTAGATTCAAGTTCGTTCAAATGATGATCCCTGCGGGTAGGGTGGGGCCACAATGGAGGATCAAAGTTTTATAAAAGAATATATGAAAAAATCTTTTTCTCAAGAACAGCAAAGCCATGTTTAGTCATATTGATATACATGTAGGAGCATACTCAGGTAGTGTAGGTTCAAGTTTGTTCAAATCATGACCCCCAGGGTGGGACCACAATGGGGGATCAAAGTTTTACGTAGGAATATACAGGAAAAAATCTTCTCAGGAACAGAAAAGCCATGTTTAGGCTTATTAATATGGAAGCATCCTCAGGTAGTGAAGATTCATTTTGTTCAAATGATGACCCCTGGGGGTAGGGTGGGGCCACAATGGGGGATCAAAGTTTTACATGGGAATATTAAGGCAAAAATTTTCTTCTCAAGAACAGAAAAGCAATGTTTAATCTAGTTGATATGGAAGCATCCTCAGGCAGTGTATATTCAAGTTTGTACAAATGATGACCCCTGGAGATAGGGAGGGCGACAATGGGGGATCAAATTTTTACAAAGGAATATACAAGAAAAAAATCTTCTGCTCAAGAATAGCAAAGCCCTTTGTTATACTGATATGGAAGCATCCTCAGGTAGTTTAAAATTCAAGCCCCCCCCCCATTCCGTGTAAACTTTTCAATACTAAACTGATTTGTGCTTTTTCCTAGCCAATTTGCTCAGGTGAGCGATGTGGCCCATGGGCCTCTTGTTTTTAATACTTTGCCTATACCTACCCTACATAAACTACTATGAGATAAGTTTTAACAACTACTTAGATTTGTGGATTTGTTAATTAATACATGTGTTATTACAAATATATCATTCTAATCATTTGACAGTACAACTATTATATCTCTTGGGTCTTACACCAAGTAAGTAAACAATGAATTTAAAATTATGGACATTGTACCATTATTTTATAACATACAAATATAACACTGGTATAAGTATACTTCATAAGGAGTTTACAAGTGTTTGAGACATATTGAAGACAGATACGCTCTTTTTCCAACATTCTTGATGGAGATTTTAATGTAGAAATTCCTTTTGCACTCAGGAGTGCACTTTGAATGTCTCTAAGATTGTCAAACTTACCGTTGATTGTTTCATAATTATTAATTTGCTCAAACTGTGATGATCTTTATTAAATAAAAAACATATAGCCACTATTCAAATAATTAGTTTTCTATAATACAGATTTTATATATATGGTCTGTTCAAACTGTGAAAATATTTTGCAATCAAATTGGTTTTACCAGAGTTATGGGTCTTAAATAATATATACATTTTATATAATTTGTTTAAGGTTCATTTTCCTTCGTTCATTCATAGAAAATTTATATTATGTAAGACCCCTCCTTGATTAGTGGCTATACTGATCTCAATCATATATTTTTTGTCCATTCCATTTTCATATCAGAAAATAACTAGGTACATAAGAAATCTCTCTCTCTCTCCCTCCCTTGCTCTCTCTCTCTCTCTTTGAATCTACAAAAATAGACAAGAGAACTCCAACTTGCATTAAATAAATTTTATTAAAATATTTTCAATCTCATACATCTCATGATTTTGTAGAAAACATTTCCTTTTTTACAAACACGAGAAGCAGTTGATAAATAAATGTAACTCTACACTTGATGATAAAACCACCAGGTCTTAACACAGCAGAGTTCAACACACACAAAAAAGATCAAGTTCAAAATAATTTCACTCAATAAAATTTACGAGATAATTTATGAAATAATCCCATATTTTACATCTTAATTAACAGATTAGTCAAAATTAACTACAAAATAGGTAGAGTAACACCTATAATACACCCCCTCCCCCCCCAAAAAAAAACTGTTAACAGATATGATTTCATACAATATAATGAGAAGGAATGTTGGATTACGTCCTGCATAATTAGGAAAGCCCCCCCCCCCCCCCCCCAAAAAAAAAGGGGGGTACAAAAGGGTACAGATCACCACAAGAATCTCAGGCTTTATGAATTATACATCATTATTCTCCACACTGCAGGGATAGGCACTTTTATATATTGCACTTCTCTGTAGCTTGTAATAACAGCACTCAGACCGCATAGCTATGTCAGAGTCAAGTTCTAACTCTTTCTAATAATATTATAATAAATATACAGATATATTAAATCAGACAAAGTAAGCATATTTTCTTAATTAGTTTCACTAAATATACATTTGGAATAGTCTATAGGAATGAGACATATTTTGGTTAACATTGGACTGTTTCTTTCATGTATATATAATTAAATATTTTTTTTTTCTTTGTAAAACAATTCAACATGACTACATAAGGCAAGACCTGCATTATGAAAACCATTTGGCTTGTAAAATCTTAAGTTTTTAGTAGTAAAGTATTTAGTACATAGTTTGTATATATCTACACTCTCTCAATAAAAGGCAACAGTTGTGGCATGACTCTGACCATGGATAACAATCTGATGAAAACAAAACATCTCTAGGATGAGCAGTTCTCGTATAAACAAAAGTTAAAGACATACAAGTAGTCTCACTGACTGATTATGCAACTACAAGATTGTATACAATATCAGATCTATACAATATATACAATATTATACATATAGACATGACCCACTGAAGGACAGGCCCCTTAGAAATGAACCAATCAGTACTCAGTAAAACGACAGGAAATATACAGCTGCTCTCATTTGGAAGATCCTGATTTCCGAAATAAACACATCAACATCAAAGTCAAAGAACTAAACAGGACAGGTTTAACTTTGGACACAAAATTTTTAAAACTTGCTTAAATTTCAGATCTTGTAAAAACTGAATTAAAAAAGAACACAAATTAGCAAATCTCTGTAAATAGAGTTGTTTATCATATTTAGATCATTATTGTATTCCCATTTAAATCTCAAGAAAAAATAAACAAAAGTGATATCTGACAGATAATATGGTCTTCAAGACTAATTTTATCCAAATATACATTGAATAACGGAAGTTGATTACTAACCAGTGCTTGGGACTTTTTCAATGAACTTTGAACCTAAAAATAGTCATGTGACCTTTTCTTCATCAATATAGCAGTTCTTTGGTATCTACTCTAGAGTAAATGTAAAGGGTATATATATATATATATCCAACATTTTCTTTTTTTGTTACTGTCTGAGATGTCAATCTACATGTCCATTTCATACATTTGATGAGCCTAACTCTTCTACATTATATAATAATGCAATGCTGTACACCTTATAAGGTATTTGTACCATTTTTTTTTTCAAAATTTAAATCTCTAACAATTAACTTTGCTTCAAAAATAGAAAAAAAAACCTCCTTACTACTCGTACAAAATATTTTTGTTTGGGCTATCAGCACTTATGAATCCAATCTCTGGAACCTAGACACTGAGCTTGGTCAATCTTCTACATTTGGAATTAGAGGATTAATATCTTGAAAAGAGTAAATTCAGGTATGCCCTATACTACATCTAATCATTTAAATAAGACAGCAGTCTCCCCCTTCTCTGGGCCGAGAGTCCCTGGGCTGTCTCTGCCCCTGAGGACAGGCAACCCTAATGTGAGGGCTTGATGAGTATGGTTTTTTTTTCACAACTCCATCAGCAGTATATAAGAATGACAGATCTATTCACAAGGCGCACTACTTTTCTCTGTATCTTCTACATTTAACAGTTCCCTCTCTACTTCATCCAGAATGGTGATTAGATTGTCCAAACCGAATAAGTATCCATCTTCATGATTGCCCTCTACCCAGAGGTCACGATGGTTGACCTTGACCCCCTCTGGGAGGGGATTTGTCTTCCCAAAGTCAATCATCCATACACTAGCATGTCCTGATTTATCATGTACAAATAACAAAGAGCTGCCAATAATCTGAAAGTTAGAGAACACAAAATGATTTTACTGTTACAATGGGACGCTGGTAGGGCTGTCATGGTTCTAAAATTTTTCGGGTCAGGTCGGTTCCGTAAATTTTCGGTTCGGTTATTTACCTCTATTTTAAACCTTAATTTCAAGAATTTAACAGAAAAAATCTTTTTTTGTTACATTACATTCACCTTTAAAACAAATCTTATCCATGTTAACGTCTTGACATTGGTGTTTAGGACTATTAGGCTGGTTATTAGCTACAATCTGATCATTCTTGCTTGTTTTGATAATTATATAATCTTTTCGTGACAAGAGTTTTGTCATGGAATGATGTATAATTCAGTTGTGATATTTATTTATCACTGTTATTGTCATCATTCTTTTGATTTCAATGCCATTTTTTATATAAAACATATTCTAATACATGTATATAAACCAGACCTGAACGGAAATCCAGAAAAATGGAACCAAAACCTAACCAAACAACTTGGACCGCGGTTTTCGGTTATTTCGGGGAACCGTGACAGCCCTAGACCATGGTGCTGTTGATGAATCATTATCGAAAAAAAAATCAGAGGTAATAAACAGAGTTTATTTTCAGATCAAACAGATATTTTTGAAGTAGTAAATTTACATATAAATCTAATGCTAACAATAAGTGAATGTACTGTAGAGTTTGCTTTAATGATTGCACCAACCTCGTGTGCCTTGAAAAACTCTGACACCTCCTGTGTGGCTCTAATGGCTTTTAATCTCTTGCTGTATCGAGCCTAGAAATATATTTGTAAAACGTAAATGTCATAGCCATAAAAAAGTGTTTCATAATCTTTTATACACGAAACTGTTGTGTATTTCAGAAACAAAGACAACTATTTTTATAACTGGTGTGAATTTCATTTTTTAATCTATAAACTTAACAGATCTTTTCTTCAATTATTTTCGCCTACATTATTGGACTGATTTAGAACATCTTCTAAGTAAACATGCTGTCATGTTTGACATTTTATCAATCTCAGATCATACAATCCTTTTAAGCTTTCAGAAACTTAATTTACCAATGGAACATTTTACTTTCCTAATTACACACAAATACACAATGGGATTGATCATAACTTAGATACATGTACATGTATCAATGAATTCAGAAGGATGAAACAATAATGACATGTTGTATACAAAAACCTAAAAACAAAAAATATACATATATCAGCCCTTCAAATTGGCCAAATTTTATTTAAAAGTCAATATCACATCCCCCTTCCTTTCTAAAAGTCAAAGATTTCTTTTCAGTATAAAAACTTCTTTGCAGTTTTAAAAACTTCTTTGGGTTTGTATTTGAATGTGCTCCCTGTACAAAAATAAACCACTCACGTAAACTTCGGCATCCGTTCCCACGAAATGTTTGAGGGCCTCCTTTACCTCCTCTCGGGTTTTGGTTTTCTTGAAATTTTTACTGGAAGCACCATCCATTTTCTGTGGACATAACAAAAATTATTTCTCAAAAATAAAATAAAATTTGAGTTCATTTTTGGCATGGCTGCATTGAGAATCATAATGTCCCAATTAAACTACCTCTACTATTCAAAAACCTTTGAATGTACAATATTTTTTTTTTATTGGGGGGGGGGGGGTGTGACATTTCTTAATGGTATTTGTGAAGATAATACTTCTGTATATAAAGATGCTGTCATTTCCTGATTTTTGACACATATTCTGGCAGTGCTAGTTATCCTTATGCTGATATTTCAAAAGTAGGTCAATGCTACAAGAAGTAGCATCATGGTAGCAGAAATAAATAATTGAATTTCAGTTTTTAGTTCAGATTTAACACTGCTAAAGCTTTGAAAATGCTTTATATGACAATTTCATTCATATTTTGAGTTATTAAACTAGTTTTCCAGGTCCCCCCCCCCCCCCCCCCCCCCCCGCTTTTTTTAACTAAAAAAATGTGATTTTCTGATGCTAGTCGGTCAATGCTGATTTTAACTAGCTCAATGCTAGCTATGACAAGAAGTCCCTGATGAGACTGTAGCTCTGCTGGCTTGAAATCATAGCAGTCTCATACATTTAAGTTGGACTGTTATTTCTTACTATTCTTGCTGGAATTGGACATTTTTCTCTATACAGTATGTGACAACATATTTCCAACCATGGCAACAAATTCTTTTTCATAATTATGATCAAACAGGGTTATTTATCTTGGTCATCTCTATACTGCTTTAGGTTTTTTAAACAGCTCAAAACTGTAGGAATTAAGTGTAGCATTTTAAAAGAATTTTGAAATATTATTCAATTTTTGTCAACATGGTAACACCATTTACCAAAAATTATGATTAATATAAAATATGATATAAATAACGCAAAGAATTTTATATCTTGATAATGTCCACGTGGAAACAAAGTCTTATTGAAATCCAAGACCAAATCTGTAGGTGGACTAAGGAGTGGCATTTAGAAAAAATAATTTACAGATTTTGTTTTTATAGTAATCATAACAAGATCTGCCCTACACAAAAATTAACAAGTATAATTCCTTTTAAGGTCATTCTTTATAAAAATAAGAAATAGCACATACAGTTACACAAGAAGTCAGTAAGTACCTTCTGGACAAATTAACACTCATTTTCAAATGAAGTTTTTTTTCAAAATACTCAGTATCATATAAACTTTTTAAAATACATGTACCAGAAGAGAAGAAATTCCTGCACCCTTATAGAAAAATTGATGTTTTCCATGCGTTTTTCATGATTCTGATAGTTGACGTGCCGGGAAAACATCAGAACCAGTGCCACTATGAAAAGTGGAAATTCGCCGCCTCCAACCGGAAGTGGCATTCTTGGTTAGATTTTCAATACATGCAAACCGAATTAAAGGTCTAATTTACATCTTATCAACAGTACTTCCAGTACTTACCAATATTGCTTTTATTGTTCCTTTGTAATATAAAGTGTCTGGTAAAAACATTTTATCAAACTCTCAAGGTTTGTTTTGATTTCTTGCATTTTGAAATCTTGTGAGACCTGTATCGAAATGTGGAGTGATATTTTCTTTTAAGCGATATTGGTGAGAACTAGAAACATTGTTTACTGAAATTGTACAAAAACTGGAGAAGTAATTAAAAAGAATTTAAACAAACAGACAGATGGAAGACAGATACTATACCAATGCAAAAAAAATGCTTTTAACAACTGGAGCTTAACTCTGCAGTAACCTCCCTTTGACTTTTAAATCACTCTACCCAACCACATCATTTTTTTTTTACCATTTCAATTTAAGAATCACATGGTTATCTTGTTCTTCTCAAATAATTACCTTAATTCCCTCTATTCGGAAGCCTAGGTGTGTTGAAGAGGACATTTCGTCTCTCCACTGCATGTATCTGGGTTTAATGACTGCTCCCTGGGCACGCTCCTCTTCAGTGGGGGCTGATGGGTCTACCTCAATCATTTTCTGATACATATCCTACAAAAACACAAGTAACTTGTATTTATAGAGATGGATAAAGGATCTGCAAGTCTTGACTCATCTGAAATCTAAAGTTCTTGTCTTCTTACTAGTTTATATTTTCTTGTCTATGAAGAGAGCTTTAATAGGCAAATTTTGTGGTTACTGTCCTGTAGCATGCTGTGAGCTCTAATACTAGCTAAATGTGAATTGTGTCATCCAGCAGGCAGTATCATCCAGCTGGCAGTATTATCCAGCAGGCAGTATCATCCAGCTGGCAGTAAGCTCCGACATATTTTGTGAATTGTCATCCAGCAGGCAGTTAGCTCCGACATATTTTGTGAATTGTGTCATCCAGCTGGCAGTTAGCTCCGACATATTTTGTGAATTGTGTCATCCAGCAGGCAGTAAGCTCAGACATATTTTGGGATTTGTGTCATCCAGCAGGCAGTTAGCTCCGACATATTTTGTGAATTGTGTCATCCAGCAGGCAGTAAGCTCAGACATATTTTGTGAATTGTGTCATCAAGCTGGCAGTAAGCTCAGACATATTTTGTGAATTGTGTCATCCAGCCTAACTAGTAACCTCAAACATAATACTTTTGGTGTGAAATCAAATTCACATCGACACAATGCTATTTTTAACTCACCTTCCTGAGTTTGGGTTTTTCACGAGCCTTTTCCAGCTCTTCCTCTAGGTAAGTCCTCGTCCCCATCTTAATGTCCATGACACACGGCGAGTCAAACTCACACAGAAGATCTTGGAGTTGTAAATATTCTACATCTAGATAAGGAACAAGTCTCCAAAATTACAAAAAAAAAATTGATTTTCTTACACTACATTTGTATTGAATTACATGTATTTAGTTGATGGAACATCAATTTCTAAACATTAATGTCCATGCATGCAAAACAGAATGGTGATAATGTTTTTATTTTACTTTTTTCAATTCATTCTGTATGCTTAAAAAAAACCCAGAATGACTATACTTCCATTTTTTAATTAATGTGTAATTTTCAGAGTTTGGTGAATAAATCTTTCAAAAAGAAACCATGTACATGATGAATGGCTTGACTTATACTCTCCATATTAAAGTACACTACAGAGATGAATAACCCATCAAACATTGCTAAAGATAGGGATTCTTATATTATATGCTTTTAGCTTCAGGTTGTGTGAACCATATTTGTTGACAAACTGTCTGTTCAGTTTGAATTATTAAAGGATACTCTCATTGTTTTTGAAGACGTCACCCCGATATTCTGGTACGTAGGATCGTAACACATCCTTCATTAGTTTATCAAATGCCTTTTGTTCTCGGGAATCATATTTTTTTAATACGGCTCCAGGTTCACCCGCTTGAAAGTTGCCTGTCAATCAAAATACATCTAATATTAAAACCTCTAATAATTTTAACATAAAACAATTATCTTTTTCAAATAAAGTTCATAGCAATACATGTATACACACATAATGTATAATAGCTAATGGACCACAATATTCATGCAAGTCACATTTTCCTTTCTACTAATAAGTCTTTCATGTACGTGTCACTTTAATTACCACGTTTTCAACAAATGAAATGGTGTTTGAAAGCACTTTAAGTAAATGTTATAAGAACCATTTTATTTGATAAAATATCAAAATTCTCAAAAACATTGAACATTACATCACAATTATGAAACAGCTAGGTTAAAAAAACATTGTTATAAAGTGTTTAGAGGCAATGGCTATAAAGTTCAACTTTTCAGAGAAATTCTATATAATTTAAGATTGTTGAGCCCGCGTGCAGAAGTCAACAGAATAGAAGTCTAAATATACCATGTTTGAATCCATTCTTTTCTCAATCAAAAAGAATATGTACATGTCTTCCACCAATCACCCTTTTGACAATTATTACTTTAAACAGAGCTAATCTCTTCATTGGTTGTTACCTTGGTGACCAGCTAGTTGTATCCATGGATACCTGTGTTTCTTGAACTGTTGGATGAAGGGAGACCAGTGAACAATGTTGCGTATCTTCTTCCACGAGCTCTGCTGCAAAAGTGAAGGGCAAAAAGGTAAAAAAAAAATTACAAACAAGCTGTTACTGTACAACATATGAATGAAACTGCAACCAAGAGTACCACACACTTTGTTGATGGTCCTTGGTTCAAGCCTTCTGTTTGGGTGAGTTTGATCTAATTTCTTTGCTGTTTCACTAGATAGTTCCCACCTCCACATGTTCAAGTGACAAGAATATCTCTTTGATAACTATAGCTACATGTACCTCCATAAAACTATACACAAATACTGAACATTTTCACTACTGGTCAATTAACATACAATTAATCCATTACTTAAATAATTATCAACATTTTCTGTTCAACACCTGTGCAAAATAATTGAATAATTGTGTCATGCACAACATTTTATAACATTTCCTTAAAAAGAATTGTCTATTATAGGTTGCTAATGAAGTGAATTGTATATCCTTGTTATCATCGGTAAGTTAAAAAAAAAAAGTACATATATGGCATTTCTAACACAGTTTATCTTCAATTTTGTTTTTTTATTCAAAAGGTGAGAATTCCTATCGATCGTGATTCAATCGCACTCAGATATACCACACCTATATAGCTTAAACTTATGTGTCACAAAATCGTAGAGCATGTTATTTAGATAACCATCACCATATAAAATAAAATTTTGTCTCACATTCTCTTCATAACACAATAGAATAATCTACATGTAGCTCTTTCAACAATTGTTTCTTCATAGTTTGTATATATATCTTATAAAAAAAAAAAAGCATCTTTTTTTCTCTCTTTATATATTTAATTCAAAGGGATAGTTGACCGTAATAACATGTAATTCAATACGAAATGTACACAACAAAGGAAAAAAAAACTTCACCTTTTTAGGTACACTACATGTAAATGACTCACACAACTTTTCCTTTCTGTGCAAGTATAACAATACAGTATGAAAGACATGCCCTATATATACTATATAATACTGATACATTCATTGTTAAATAACATATGATTTATGTATCTACATGACACACTAGAGACTGGTACCCCCAGAAAACTGGTCTCTCACTACAGAAAACGTGTCCAGCATATGATGGTTCTGGAGACAAGTAGTGCCCCTTGTGTGGGAACGCATCAACCTTTGTGTGGCACATATCAAAGTTTCCAACACCGACATCAAAAATGGGTCATGAAGTTGTGGATTATTATCATCAAGTTATAGTAGGAACTCAGAAACTGTATAGTACACCATGTCAACTTATATATACATCCATAACGTCATCACAAATCCACAAGCCAACGTTTTTTATTTCCTTTAACCAGATTATTAGTAGGCTGCCTCATACACCGATTCTCGAAACTGACCTGTTGTTTGATCAGAAACCAACATCCAATGACCAGCAGGGTTGCTAACAATACGGCCACCATGTTACTGAAACCAGACACACAGACATGAGTACCCATCATCTAAAATCATACAAGACCATCAAGCTACAGTCACTGAGACACAATAGCCATCAGCTGTATATATCAAACTGACCCATTCTTATTATACAGGGTTTTACGGAGGCTGGTACATAAAGATACTTATGAAACAGAACAGGATTTATATTCACCCCATTAGCTTGATGTAACACCTCATAAGCACCCCTTTCCCCCTCCATCAAGCACTGCAGAGCTAATATATAAACAGATATATAAAACCATATCTCAATATCTACTGAAAACACTGCAGGAACATGAAGACAACTAAGCAATAATTTATATTGTAGGTGTTGGAATTTTGACCTATACTGACTTTATGAAGAACTTGACAGCTATACATTATACTCCCTGTCAAAGATCTATTTATAATGACCAATATATACCCCAGTCTGAATTTATTCCAATTACAAAAAGAATACAAATATAGCTGTCAACTGTTGGTGAAATATTACCCTCCAACACATCTAATGACACATATTGTCTTTGATCTTAAAATCTTCTAGCTTAAATTTGCATCAAATTTGAATTTTTTATGGTTCTACTGTCATGTACAGGCCAGGAGACACTTCTTTTTGAGAATTTTATTTTATTTTTTAAATTAATTGAATTTAGAGGGATAAAATTTCAAAATCTTGAAATTAATAATCCATCTTAAATGTATAAGCCTTGAAGAAAAAAAAAATAAAAAGGTGTCTGAAAACAACAGGTGAGATCTTATTATTTTTCCTTTTCTGAAGAAACTTACCTTTGTATCAACATTAATTAAATCCCCATTTTTGACAATAATAAATTCTCCCTGCACTCTACAATTCCCAGGGAGCTGATACAAAGCGGTTGACATCAGCTCCATCACTTCAGCCATTCCACTATATAAAAAGACTCACTGATTAAACCACACCATATCAGATATTCCCTTTTTAACTTAGTCACTAGAATATAATATGTCAGCTTAGTACAATCCTTCTGAAGACTAGCCTCACATGTGGATGACGATTGTTATAATACAGTCTTGAGGTGTAATCGAGGGACTGGAGTTGGACTTTTTCTTCACACTTCCACAAAGCAGTTCCTCCTACACCTTGTCAAGAAGTCCCACATTACACTGCTTCGCTGTCAGCGATCAAAATATAACTCGTCACGCTGGGCTGACAGCTGTCATCAAATTACCTTGCGCTTAATGGCAAGACTTTTTTGGTTCACTTTTATTTTTATTAGTTCCATGTCATTAACGCAAACAGCTTTCAGCAGGGAATACACACGGTCTTACATGCACGATTTAACCACTGTGACTTTCTGAAATGTCACACTCAATCTGAGATCAACACTTATATTTAAGATCAATATTCATAATTATCAGTAAACTGAATGAAGCCTCGAAAAAAATTGTTTCCCTGATAAAAAGACCTCTGTTTTTCAGATAGATCCCCACCCCATTCCCAGTAGTAGAACTTATTAAGGAGGGCGGAGGGGGTCACTTTTAAAATAAATTTTGACCTTAATGAAGATTAATTTTTCTGTAATTCTTTGTAAATATCATTCATAGAAACTTATCTCCACCATTATCAATAGAAATGACTTTGACAGCTCTACTGTTCAGATATCTATAACATTATATACATGTCAGAGTGTAAGAAATAGATGTTCTTTCCTACAGTATTTCATAAGGTGATAGAACTATGAAAAATGGAATTAAATGTCAGTTCCATCAATAGCATTTTAATTTTTTTCTGAAAATAATTCAATCTACCAGTAGGCCTAATTCTTAAAAGTGTGAATTTCTTGCTGCCCTAGTTAAAAGTCTGAAGAATTTGGAAAATTCTGAAGTACAGAATCATAAGACCAAGATATGGTAAAATCTATCAAGAATATGGGTTCTTTTACGTTTTAAATATTCTAAATTTCTGCAGCATTAATATTTATAACACGATTAACAAATGAGATCTCCAATTGTAATGTAAATGTGTGGTAAGTATGTGAATGGTTGGTATTTTCCGCACATTTCAGGAAGATCAGTCGGGCATTCTTGTCATTTTCACTCCATGGCTTCCCCCCAAGGTCCCCTCCCCCACAACGAAGTAATTGTCCGTCCATGATACAATTAACAGATTTAAATTCGATAAACACGCCATCAAAATAATTTCTTAAGATGATTTGATATTTACAGAAATTGATAAATTAATAATAATGTAAGATATAATAAATGAAAGCTAATTAACATTCTGATGTTGTACCTGAGATAATTAATATGGTAACTTAATGTGGGAGAAATTTGTTCTTTCAGACAGATGGATAATAAACGCCTTCATTAAATAAATTACATTTAGTCTTTGTTAAAAAATTAAATTACTCTGTTGCTTAATTAATTCTGTTCCATTCCAAAACAATTTGTTTATATATTTTACAATTCATGCATATTTTTATCTTCTTAACACCCTCCTTTTTTCTCATTGGGAATCAAGAATCTTCATTACACAGCCCCCCCCCCCCCCCTTTGCCTCTTTTTACTCCAATTCAAAATCAACAAATGAAAGCTGTACTGCAGACAAATGAAATCTCAGAACCTCAAATAAAGGTATATAAAGAAACAATAAAGGATTTAAACCTGACAAAAGAAACAATTGCTGTGGACTTCAAACCAATATACCAGTAAATTTCTGCCAGAGGATGATTTGATCTGACCTAAAATGTTCAGATTACTGGACTCTGATAACTCCGTCTTCAATTATGACCTCAAAGAGTGCATCAAAATGTAAATTAATCCCCGAAGGCAAACACAATCACTCTAAAATTACTTAAGTTGTGACGCAAATGCAGAGAGGGACATGACATTCTGATCATCGTGCTATATGGGTTTTTGTTTGATTAGTTCTGAATTGAAGTGGAATTAGAAAAGGGATATTGAGAGCTCCTGTGTCACAGGTTACATTAGACGATTCTAACCTGTTTGCTTACCCAGCAACACAGTCACGGACCGATGATTATAACAACAAACCAATAACAGCCTCTGTCAACGATATTCAATTTTAAAGGTGTTTTCAGGCAAACTTGCTGTAAAATGTACATGTATACGGTACAAGTAAATGCTCATTATGTAAATGTGCAAAGTCTTTTATCAAATGATATGGATATAGATAATAAAACTGATATTTTTACCACTGTTTGCATGCAAATTACACCATTTTTTAGTGAATCATTGCTTCCTTAATTCCTTGACTGTCAAACAGATTTGTACATGCAGACTAATACTGTATCAAAGTCAATAATTCTACGAAAAAGAAAAGAAAAGCCTTTGCTGAACTAGTGTGAAAAGTTTCCCTTGAGGGAGTGGTAAAAAATCTCACTCTCTCTCTCTTTATAAATACCGTATATACTCGCCTATAAGTTGGTTTTTTGGGAGTTAAACTTTGGTCCAAAAACCCCTGTCAGACTTATAGACGAGTTATGAAAATATTGGTATAATAGCAGGTCAATCCCTTTAATGTAAGTTTTAAAAATACAACCGACTTATAGGCGGACCGACTTATAGGTGAGTATATA